CCCGAGAATCGCGGCGACTCACCGGTAATATGCAGAAAATGCAACCCCTCTGTCTCCAGGGCCGGCCGCGCGGACAGCTGCTCCCCTTCCCGCTCCATGGCCGCCGCTCTGGCCGGCCCGGCCACGTCAGCGTCAGCTGGAGCCTCCTCCTGCGGGCGCACCCTTACGTACACGCGGCGCGCCTGGGGCGCCCCGGCCAATCGCAGCGCGACCCGCCCCTGACGCTCGGACTGTCCCTGCGGAGGCGTGGCCAGGGACAGGCGGGGCGAGATGTTGGTGGGCGAGCCCCGGGTCCGCCGCGCTCGGGGTGGCGGTGCGGCTTCTTTAATGGTCTACACGAGGCCGAGCGACTGACCTCCTTGCCGAGTGTTTATCGAGGATATACTTTTTGTATTAACTGGACAACGAGGTCCCCGAGGTTAGGGACGCCTGGAAACAGGATTTGCGCCCACATTCTTGCCCCGGGTTGGGCAAAAGAGTTCAGCAGAGTGGGGACCCTCAGCCACTGAATGTGCAGCCAAGGGCCGCCCCACTAGGTGTAAAGAAAAATACTCGAAGCCTCCTCCCCCTGCCGCCGGTGTTACTCTCAGGCTAAAGAAGCCCCCGCCGACACTCACGGTTATCCTCTCCTCAAGAATCAAAACCTCTTGGGAAAAGAATTATAGCAACTGCTCCAACACATATTGAATCCTATGTGTCGAAAGCATTAACACAGTTCCTGGTTGTTCCCCCTGCCAGCGATGCCCTCCTCCAACCTCCTCTGCGCCTCACCTGCCACCACCCCTAAGGCCTACCTTAACCACAATACCTGAAATTTGACCTTGAGGTGTCTTTGGAGAAGACTTTGAACGTAACTGTGTCTCAAAAGAGGAGTTGAGGATTAGGAATATAACGGTGAACAAACAGTGAATAGGTGATGACATCAGCGCGCCGTGGCTGCAGCCGCCACCGTGGTAAAGAAATGCACCGACGCGAAGCTCCAACACCGCCACTGCTTAGCTAACTGGTTTGCTTGGAAGTTCCTCAAGGGTGTCAGCTCCGGGTACCACAGCACCGACCTCTTCAGCAGCATGTTCAGCAGCACGGACCATGGCAAAGAAAAGCCTGAGGGCTCTTCACCTCGTAGACGGGCTTCTCGGATGGGGAAATTTGAGGACCTAAGGCTGTGAAGACAGCCAATGATTCGACAAGTTTAGGAAGGAGTAATTTTACTCCATCTTTTTTTATTTTCCTCTCACTTGTATGTGATGATGAACCATCACTCTTTGCTTTGAGGTGGTTTCTCACTTGCTCTGGCATCTTGCAGGAACTCTGTGTGCCAGAACTATTTCTTGGAGTGACAGTTGGGATATCTGGTTTGGGATCAGCTTTAAATGTACCCTGTATGCAAACAATGATAAACTAGTCAAGACGATCAGGGTTGCCTGGCCTCTTTGGTTGTGCTTTGGACATTATTAGGCACACTAACTGGTGTCACTGTCCATGGAAGCCATTGGTTAGGGCATTTTTCTCTTAGGGAGGTAAGGCTCTGAAAAGGGATCCAGAACAACACTTTCAATCAATGCTTGGGATTGATCGATACATAGCAACTTGGTGATTAAGATTGCTAGTGGCTTGGGTTACTGAGCCAGTTTTTAACAGATAGTTCCGTGCCTTAACAAGAGATATCATATTAAGACATAAGAAGTTCAAAAAACTTGAGGTGAACATAATTTCAGACCTCATGGTGTGGTTCAGGAATTAAGATACTTGGAGTAGCTGTGGAGGGAGATCCTCCATTGCAAAGATTTGTCATTGCCAGCTTTCAAACTAGTCACTGAAGTGAAAATACTATGTTATAAAAATGCCAAAATGCTGCATCTGGTTAAATGAGGGGAAAAAAAAGAGCTTGCCATATTTGCCTTGTTTACCCCCACTTTCTGTATGGTCTATAATCATGAAGGACTAAACTGTAATATTTAGTTTCGATCATTTAAACAAAAATAGTGAACAATCCCTGTCACTCAGGACTTTGCAATATAAAACAGAAACACAGCACTCATGAAAATAATGCAGGTTTTAAACATATACAAGAACAAAAAACTTTGCATACTATTGGGAACTACTGTGTTTGTATATACACATGTACACACAGGATAATGACTAGTACATTCAATTGAAATTTATTAATTTTGAATTACTAGAGTGTACAGCTAATGGGCTTTCACTGCAGTTCTTAGCAAGTTGTTGTTCTTATAGTCCCCATTAAAAGAGACTCATTCTTCCTAGCCAGGCTTAATTGTCACCTTTGTCCCTTTAATCAGTGTAGCATCTCTGTTTGTCTAGACTCATAGTTATTTCAGCAAACACTTTGCTCAATGTAACTGCTCAGGTGTTATTTGCTAAACCAGGACAAAGTAGTATCCAAACTTCCAAACCAGTAACTAAATGAATGGCCCTAATTCATCACTCCTCACAACCATATCCAAGTCATAACCTCAAGGTGGGAGGAGTATATTTCCCCATCCTTTGACTTTGGACCTGGCCAGATGACTTGCTTTGGTTAATGGCAAGTGGGCAGAAATAAGTGTTTAAGTTTTTGTTGTTGTTGTATTTTTATTTTGGTATCATTAATGTACAATTACATGAGGAACCTTGTTTACTAGACTCCCCCCTTCACCAAGTCCCCTCCACATGCCCCATTAGTCACTGTCCATCAGCATACTGAGATGCTGCAAAATCACTACTTGTCTTCTCTGTGTTGCACAGCCCTCCCCATGCCCCCATTATACATGTTAATCCTAAGGCCTCCTTTCTTCTTCCCCCTGCCTTCTCCCTCCCTTCCCACCCATTCTCCCCAGTCCCTTAGCCTTTGGTAACTGTTAGTCCGTTCTTGGGTTCTGTGATTCTGCTGTTTTGTTCCTTCAGTTTTTTCTTTGTTCTTATACTCCACATATGAGTGAAATCATTTGGTACTTGTCTTTCTCTGCCTGGCTTATTTCACTGAGCATAATACCCTCTAGCTCCATCCATGTTATTGCAAATGGTAGGATTTGTTTTCTTCTTATGGCTGAATAATATTCCATTCTGTATATGTACATCTTCTTTATCCATTCAGCTACTGATGGACACTTAGGTTGTTACCATATCTTGGCTATTATAAATAGTGCTGCGATAAACATAGGGGTGCATCTGTCTTTTTCAAATTGGGCTCCTGCATTCTTAGGGTAAATTCCTAGAAGTGGGATTCCTGGGTCAAATGGTATTTCTATTTCAAGTTTTTTGAGGTACCTCCATACTGCTTTCCACAATGGTTGAACTAATTTACATTCCCACCAGCAGTGTAGGAAGGGTCCCCTTTCTCCACAACTTCGCCAACATTTGTTGTTGTCTTTTGGATGGCGGCGAACCTTACTGGTGTGAGGTGATATATTGTGATTTTAATTTGCATTTCTCTGATGACTAGCGATGTGGAGCATCTTTTCATGTCTGTTGCCCATCTGAATTTCTTCTTTGGAGAACTGTTCAGCTCCTCTGCCCATATTTTAATTGGACTGTTCGCTTTTTGTTTGTTGAGGTGCATGAGCTGTTTATATATTTTGGATGTCAACCCTTTATCGGATCTGTCATTTATGAATATATTCTCCCATACTATAGGATGCCTTTTTGTTCTGTTGATGGTGTCCTTTGATGTACAGAAGCTTTTCAGCTTGATACAGTCCCACCTGTTCATTTTTGCTTTTGTTTCCCTTGACCGGGGGGATTGTTCATGAAGAAGTCGCTCATGTTTATGTCCAAGAGATTTTTGCCTATGTTTTTTTCTAAGAGTTTTATGGTTTCATGGCTTACATTCAGGTCTTTGATCCATTTCAAATTTACTTTTGTATATAGGGTTAAGTGTTTAAGTTTTGAGTTTAAGACCCTTTAAGAAGGCTCTAGTGTTTCTTGTGCTCTTCACAGAGTTAGCTGACCTGTCTGAGGATAATGAAAGGCTAGAAATCTTCCCTAGAATGTTGTCTTCTGATGGAGAGTGCCTAGGAGCCTGCCAGAAGGGCAGAGCCTCAGGCCCAAACACAAACTACATTTTACCAAGAACTTCTGGAGATTCATTTCACCTTGGAGTTGGGAAACCATTGGGTTAGGGTCACACTGAGGAAATGTAAATGCTAGGTTCTTCTGAGGCCCAAGTTCACCCTCCTCTCCAAAGCCTTCTGAAGACCGTACCACACTCCTTTCCTTCAGTTGCTACTGCACTGAGGGTTCCCTCCATGGCTGCTGTGGTTCTGTCTTCCCAGCTAGACTCTCAGCTCTTTGAAGGCACAGTTCCTTCATGTCTTAGGCATTCTATATATGCTTTACAAGAAGAGCACACCAGCCCATCAGCAATCACCCAAAAATATGTAGAGGCCTACTCACATTTAGAACTTCCCAGGGAATTTTGAAAAACAACCCAAACCAAGGCCAGCAGATAAAAAAAGATGGATGGCAAAGGTGCTCACCATCACCATCTTGTTTTTTTTTTAGATTAGCTCACACTGGCCATAACAGGGTGTGAGGAATGTAACAAAGCATCTAGGCACCATGAGGAAATGGTGCCTTAGTCTGCCAGCCAGGGCAGCCATTGAGTCCCTCTACCACATTCTAAATGATGCTACTTCTCTGCTTGAGTTCTATCAACAGGCAAGCAAAGTCACATTCCCCTCTAGTTTTTCAAATCAGTAATTAGTATCTGCATGATGTTTGTACGTAGGGTTAAATAAAAGCTCGAGAGGAAGATTTCTGTAAAACCCTGAAGCCTGACTGCCTTTAATAAAGCTCTCAGTATTTGTGCAGGAGAAATGCACCAGAGATTGCAGATTCTTACTGACAATCACTGGCAATATACGGATAATCTTGTTTTATTTGGATTTAAAAATCCAAACACTTCACAGAGGACTGGGAAGCTTACTGAGAAACCATGCCCACCACATTTCCAATTTATGTCCATATACTTTACTGCACACACCTCAATGACACATAACTAGACAGAACAGTGTCTTTTATTTTTTAGTATTTGTAGAAAACTGGCATTTTGATTTCAAAATCTGTATTACAAAGTTACCAGCAGCAGTTTTAAGCATTTCAACAATGCTTATGAACTCCACTTTGCTGACACAAACAAGGCTATTTCAAGTTCAATAAGCAGAACTAGTCTCAAGTGGGCATACTGTACATCCTGTAGACTCTCAGGCCACATTGCTCAGGACCCGTTTGTAACTATGTCTTCTTCCATCTCTTCTTCACCATCATCTGTGGGGCCTAAAGAAAAAGACAAAGACTGAAGCCACACTGATTTTAGACAGCATGCTTGCTCAGTATGTGAGTGCCTGTTCTGTCAGACTATTGCATGCTAGGCCCTGGACTAGGTACAAAAAGGCAACAGCAACTCCTACCCTCAAGGGGCTTAGAGTCCAGAGACCATCTGTCTTTGGCAAATATTGGAAGGGATGGTTAATTCTTAAGGGGAAGGGTCACAAAGGTGTCTTCTGAAGGTCAAACTGGTCTGCCATTCTTAACCACTTTTGGTTGAACAGATGATTCATTTTTTCTGAAGGTAAAAAGCTTACACTTTGTTTTGTTTTTTTCCACTACCACGGGCAAAGAAACTGGGAATATTCAAAAAACATTTGCAGATCTACTATATGACAGATATTGGGAATAGTCAGTGACTTTATTGTCTCTAAATTATGGAAAACATGGTAACAACCACCAAAGTTTGTTACATTTATTCAACAATTTATGGCAGGTATTTTGGTCAATGTCTGAAAAAAAAAGATTTTAACCCTGTCAGTGTTTGGGAAAATTAATGTTTAAACCTACTATTTTTCTAGTTAGACCCAAACATGAGATTTTTAGATACAAAACTACCAAGAAAGAATGTCATTGGGAAGTGTTACTCGGAAACCTAGGCCCACTGAAATCTTGAGTACCATGAACAATTTCTATTTTCCTCTCCCCAGTGTTTGTTCATATTACATTTAAAATCCCAAGAACTCCTAAGGCCCAAATTAAACATTCTACGGGGAAGCAAATTAATTTAGCAATTCCGTGTATTACAGTCACAATAAGCAATTCTGGTATGACGTCGTCCCCCAACCTGTCACCAGCAAGTCTTGAAAGCCTTCAAGAGACATCTGTTCTCAGGACTAAAGACATAATCCCTCGCAGTCCAGTGTCCTCGTATGTGCTTACTGCCTGGTCACCCCACCACATTCTTTGTGCTGTGAGCTCCACTCACACCGGCCTCTTTCAGTTCAAGTGCACAAGGCCTCCTTCTACCACAGGGTTTTCGCCAGCGCCGTTCCTCCCAGAATGCCACTCTGCCTTTATCTAGTTCAGCAGTTCTCAAAACATTTTAGTTTTAGGACCCAAAAAGCTTTTGTTTATGTAGAGTATGTGTTATCAATACTGTATTAGAAATTAAAACCGAGTATTTAAAAAACCAGTAATTCATCAAAATAATAAATCTATGAAGTTAATATTTACATTTTTATAAAAAATGGTATTTTCCATAAGAAAAAATATTTAGTGAGAAGGCTGGCTTTATTATATATTTTTGCCTATCTCTATAATGTCAGACCAATAGCAGTCAGCTGGACTTCACCATTCCACTGTCACAATATGTTGTTTTGACTGAAGGACATGAAGAAAATCAGCCCCTCACAGTATCTGTAGAAAAGGGAGAGTATTTTAATAGCCTTTGCAGGCAGCTGTGGATATTTATTTGACACTATGCCAAAACTTGACAAAAGTAGTAGTTCCTTAAAGGTTAGTTTGTAATGTGTAGTTTGAAAACTCATCAATGACCTTTTCAAACTCTCTTACTTGAAAATCCATGTTTTGTCCTGTACTATGGATCATTTACACATGCATGATTTTGTAGCATCATTTGGAAAATAATGGTTCACTCAGTTATGCAGATCTTTCAAATACTGACCCATTTCATTTTACAATATAAAAAAATCATATTCATTAATATCACTAATTTCCTCATAAGTCTCTAGGTACTGGGTAACTGTGGTTCAGTTTTATAGCTTTTAGTTTTTGCTTAAAAATGTGGATGTTATCATGCTAACCAACACTATTAGTTGTTTTCCTGGAAGTGACAAGCTCACTTCATGTTTGAGAAGATGCCTGCTTTCAACTGAAATGGTTCTGTTAGCACACAGACACAGCCTTCCAACTCAGGAAGTGTGCAGAAGTGCTTTATGCACCACCCCCTTCTGTCATCCAGAGTATGAAAATATGTGCACGTGACAGGTGGTATTTCATATATTAATAATTTTCATTGCTTCATGAAGGACATTCTTAAGTTGACACTGGCATGTATTTTACTGAGAGGTGCACAGTAGTTTAGAATATGACAACTACTCTGATAGCTCCTTTGGGAATCCTGACCTTGTGCTAAAGTGCCAACAGTTTCACACACCATTGCTCTTGCACGATCACTACAAATGTCAATACAATTAAAAAGCAAGTAACACCTTGGTGTTTATAGAAAATTCTGACCTCACAGACCTCAGAGGTTCAAGGACCCCACAGTGAGAGCCACTGGTCTCTTTATAATATCTTACTCATTTTTAGCATCAGTCCAAACGTTATTTCTCAGGGAAACTTTCCCTGGGTTGCCAGTTTAGGTAGAATACACCAGTTACATTCACATCAAAATTTGTGAATATGCATTATTTTGAATTTTTACTTTATACTCCCAGTGTCCAACATGCTGCCTGACACAAATATTAGAATAGCTAATACTTACTAAAACTTACTAATGTCAGACCCCGTACTAAATGCCATCTATGAAGTATCTTACTGAGTCCTCCCAACAACTTTCTGAGGTTGGCACTATTATTATCTCAGATTTAAAGATGAGAAAATAGATTTAAAATTAAATGGGGATTAAAAAACTTACCCAGGGGTAGAGCTGGTAAGGCTCAGATCCGAGCTTCAGGCTGTCTGGCTCTGGAGCCTGTGTTCCCAACACTAAGCTGTCCTATACATACACGGGCTGAGGTCCACGTGGTTGCCTCCAATGCTCAGTTTTACTCCATGGCTACAAAATACTGTTTGCTTCAAGTCTGATATAAAAAAATCTCCAGTCCTATGACATAACATGCTATCCACCTCAAATAATTTATCTTTAGAAAGTATTTAAAAGAATTTTGTGTACATTAGATGGTAAAGAGGCAGTACTCTAACATTCTTGGGTCAGCATCTAATCTGTTTTGGAATTACTTGAGTATAACATAAATTTGGAAGTACAAAGACAGAACGTGACTTCCTGACCTGATCGGCGTTCTCTGCCAGGTATCTGACCGGACTGTAGCAAGCCCTTCAGCCGCTCCACTTCAGCCAGAGTTGATGCATTTGCTATAGCATTCTGGAGGACACAAGAAATATACAATTAAAAAGCAAGTAACACCTTGGTGTTTATAGAAAATTCTGACCTCACAGACCTCAGAGGTTCAAGGACCCCACAGTGAGAGCCACTGGTCTCTTTATAATATCTTACTCATTTTTAGCATCAGTCCAAACGTTATTTCTCAGGGAAACTTTCCCTGGGTTGCCAGTTTAGGTAGAATACACCAGTTACATTCACATCAAAATTTGTGAATATGCATTATTTTGAATTTTTACTTTATACTCCCAGTGTCCAACATGCTGCCTGACACAAATATTAGAATAGCTAATACTTACTAAAACTTACTAATGTCAGACCCCGTACTAAATGCCATCTATGAAGTATCTTACTGAGTCCTCCCAACAACTTTCTGAGGTTGGCACTATTATTATCTCAGATTTAAAGATGAGAAAATAGATTTAAAATTAAATGGGGATTAAAAAACTTACCCAGGGGTAGAGCTGGTAAGGCTCAGATCCGAGCTTCAGGCTGTCTGGCTCTGGAGCCTGTGTTCCCAACACTAAGCTGTCCTATACATACACGGGCTGAGGTCCACGTGGTTGCCTCCAATGCTCAGTTTTACTCCATGGCTACAAAATACTGTTTGCTTCAAGTCTGATATAAAAAAATCTCCAGTCCTATGACATAACATGCTATCCACCTCAAATAATTTATCTTTAGAAAGTATTTAAAAGAATTTTGTGTACATTAGATGGTAAAGAGGCAGTACTCTAACATTCTTGGGTCAGCATCTAATCTGTTTTGGAATTACTTGAGTATAACATAAATTTGGAAGTACAAAGACAGAACGTGACTTCCTGACCTGATCGGCGTTCTCTGCCAGGTATCTGACCGGACTGTAGCAAGCCCTTCAGCCGCTCCACTTCAGCCAGAGTTGATGCATTTGCTATAGCATTCTGGAGGACACAAGAAAGACAATGGAGATGGACAATTGATTTCATCTGTTATCAACCACCAGAGAACACCTACAGAAATTAATACTGACTTTTTGAGTTGGAACATTAAATACCTGTGCTGGAGAAAGAATTATATTGTCACACTGAAATCAGCCCCAAAACCAAATCATATAAATTTCCAAAATTTATAGAAAACGCAGAACCTCTTACAAGAAAACAAATAGTCATTGTACAGGTCTTAAAATTAGCTAACTAAAGTACCTACTTGGAATTACATTACTGGATAATTCAGGAGGCAGTATTATAAAATTAGGATTTCCCACTGGTCATCAAGCAGGATCTTTCAGACAGCAATTCTTTGAAAGTAAAAATTAAGGCAGATACTAAGATGGCATACAAAGGTAACTAACTGTTCAAATAAACACATCCTGAGGAAATGAGACCAGAGCTACCACTACTCTGACTGGCTTATGTAAGTAATTCAAGTCAAATCTGGTCAAATAAAAACTTTAAGGTAGTTTTTCCTTATGCAGAAATATAGCTAGATTCTAACAACTGTGGGGAAGAAACCTGCAACATTCAGAACTTAATATATTATATAGTTTTGTATCCTAAACTCATGGCAGCTCTCTCTGGTCTGAGAGTCCTAACACATTATTACCTTGATTGCTTCTACATCCCCTGGAGATGGCCCGCCTTTCTTTTTGTCAGTTGGCAAACCAGCACCTGGATTAAAGCTTAGGAGGGGAGGGAAGAACATAACTGTTAAATCCAGACCAACGGAAATTGCTTCTCTTTTACTTTCAAAAGCTTTTGAAAGTAATTCAACCAGTGTAGTATCTTATCTTTGTTAACAAACTGATACAAGAAACTCTCTCCTTCAGAAACACCACCCAGTTCATCTTCCCAAAGAGAAAGCAGGATGTATGTAATGTCACATAACGACTGAATACAGAAGTATTTGTTCTGCTAACTTGGTAGAAATCTCATGTGACATATGGCCATTGACAGTCACTGATTCTCATCACACAAATTTAATACTGCATTAGTTGCAGGTGCTTTGTTTACTTTTGTAGGAGGCAAACTGCCAGACAGATAGTGTTTCTGAAGGTGAAGTGGAGTGAATTGGATATCTGTATCTTACGTTTTGCTTCTCCTGGCAATATCCTTTGCAAGCTGTGCACCCCGTTTGCCCTTGAACATTTTCTCTGCTTCCTGACGCTCCTACAGCAACACCACACACAGAGTTAATGGAAATAGGAATACCACATGCATTTAGATGCATTCCTCAGAAAACATGGGAGAAAACTCTCCTGACATAGTCTGGGCTGGTAAAAATACCAAAAAGCCAATTTCAAATTGAAAAGAGACACAATGGTCTTGCCTTCTCTGAGGAAGCTCCATGAAGAAAGTTCCCTCTCCTACTTTCAAGGAGGGGGGTCCCAAGGAATTAAGAAGGTTAAAAAAAAAAAAATGAACTCCCAATGAAGGGAAAATCATTCTAACAATAAAATGGCAAACGGACAAAATTAAGCTCCCTGTAGAGGTATGTCCCCAGTCTGCTGCTAACAGCTCTCACTGTGGCACTGAGACGGTGCTACCCCTGCAGTGACTGACACCACGTAAGGCGGCTTTAATGCCAAGTCCTATCATAAACTCTACTATGAAAAAAACCTGACATAACATTTTCTTTCCCACATTTTTATTACAAACCAATGGTAAAACTTTAGGCAATTAAAAAAATCAGTAACAATAAGTACAAAGGGAAACACACAGATCTATAATGACTTACGACCAACACAATAATACTCACTTTTAGTTTCACCTTCTGGAAATCCAGTACTCTGACTTGTGGAACTTTATAAATTACATACAGTCTGTAATGCTTCTTATTTGTTACAGGATTTCTTAGAATACTACAAGAAAAGGAACAGTATAATGCCAATCTTGTCCATAGCACAGCACTCAAGAGGTTCATTTTAATAGTATCTAATGAGTTCATAAATTGAGGAAAAATTCACCACTTTTCACATTTCCATGTCATAACTTAAGTAACAGTTGGAAAATTTTAACAGGGCCCAAGGGAAATATTTTCAATATTCATTTTTGAAAGGTACTTTTTAGTGATTGCTTTAAGGTCAACTCTGGTAACAGTATTATTTTAAAGGACTTCATTGTCACCACCACAAATAATTTCCATACCTTAGGTAAGTCAGTGATTTGAGAGATGCCAAGGGATCCAGATCACCCTGTAAAACAGTGGGCACAGATAAGAACACAAATACCACGCACTATTCTGATACTTTGAAATGGGGAATGCTTTTGGAGCAAGGACTCATCTTTTTATTTTTTTACTGATCTAGTATCTAGCACAATACTAGCACATCAGAGAAGTTTAATAAATGTCTACTGAGTAAACCGGTGAAAAAATTCTGAGCTTCTTAAACTTAAAACCTTGGCCACACATACAGCTTCTGTTCCAATAATAAAAGAGACAAAAAATTGATTTCCTGTAGCTCAAAAGAGCTACAGTTTAAAGCAACGATTTAGAAAAGGAAGTTGATATAACCTAAGTGCACACGGGGAACCTGAAGACGGGATCCTGTAATCTTGTAGGTGGTTTTTCCTGACAGTACCTTTAGGTGTCTGGGAATAACAGGCATACCATCTTTGAGTGAAGGCATCTTTATTTTAGGCTCCCCCAAATCTCTTCAAATAATTTGTTATTTAATTATTAAATAACTATAATATATTTATTATTTTAATTTGGATCACCAATATAGTTATTTTTTAAAAAAGACCAAATCATGAACGAAGGCAGGTCAGTTTTTGAATCTCCCCAAATTGTAATATAAAACAGTACAACAAGGATAGCAAAATCAAAACACCTATGGCCAACAGGTACAACTAAGCTAGACGAAAAGGTACTCCAACAGGAACCTTAAAACAGGAACAAGCAGGAGAGACTATTTTGAGAGCCACCAGACTTGCAAGGTGACAGCATTTGTGCAGGAAAAAGCAGAAGGAGGAAGGCAAAGGAGCGCATCACAGCACTGAGTTCAGTGAGGTTGCAGCGAGGCCTGAAGAGCCTAGTGTGGTCTGGGCCCTTGCTCTTGACAGTACCCAGAAATTGTGTCCCTTCCAAGGCAAACCCCTACACTGAAGAGAAACTGTTAGGAACAGATCAAAACTGAGTAACACGGGGCAAGAGGGACAATGAGAAAAGAAGTACAGATAAAAGTTGGGTAGGGGTCATCTGCAACAACATGGATGGAGCTAGAGGGTATTATACTCAGTGAAATAAGTCAACCAGAGAAAGACAAATATCAAATGACTCCCCTCATTTGTGGAGTATAACAATGAAGCAAAACTCAAGGAACAAAATAGCAGCAGACTCACAGATTCCAAGAAGGGACTAGTGGTTACCAAAGGGGAGGTGTGGGGAAGGGCAGATGGGGAGGGAGGGAGAAGGGGATTGTGGAGTATCATGATTGCTGCACATAGTGTGTGTGGGGTTATGGGGAAGACAGTGTAGCTCAGAGAAGACAAACAGTGACTCTGGCATCTTTCTACACGGATGGACAGCGACTGCAATGGGATATGGGGGTGGGGGGGACTCAATAATAAGGGTGAATGTAATAACCCCATTGTTTTTCCTGTGAAACCTTCATAAGAGTGTATATCAATGATATATATAAAAAAGAAAGTGGGGTAAGGGAATACAACAGAACCAGAAATTCAGTTTAAACTGCCTTTTAAAAATACCCACACACATCAGAGGGAGAGCTCAAGCTTGCTGCTGGCATACTGTCACTAAAAGAAATCTTCAGGATGACCCAAAAAGCAACAAAGGAAAACCACTATCACATGATCTCACTTATATGTGGAATCAGAAAACACAGAGTTCAACTCATATAGTAAGAGAGTTGAATGGTGGTTACCAGAGGCTGAGGGTGGGGGTAAGACGAGATGAGCTATTGATCACAGAATACAAGCTTTCAGTTTATTTGGTAAATAAACTCTGGAGACCTAAAGCACAACATGGTGAGTTAATAATAATGCACTATATAGTTGAAATTAAGAAAATAGATTTCATGTATTGTTACCATACAAACAAAAACCAACTATGTAAGGTGACAGATATGTCAGATTGTGGTAATCATTTCACAGTGTATACATATAACAAAAATCACGTTGTACACCTTAAATATATACAGTTTTTGCCAATCATACCTCAGTAAAATGGCAAAACACAAAACAGAAAGGAACAAGGAATGGCAACGAGTTACACACAAACTATATAAACATGATGACGTCTTGGTGGGTTTTTTAAAGAAAGAATACTTAAGAAGTTAGGGGGCTGTTAAATTGTTAAGAGGCAAAAGGTATTGGTTAATTTTAAACTTTTTAGTAAGTATTTTTAATTCCTAGAATGCTTAGAATAATTTCTACACTACTAGAAAGAAAATTGGATCAAAAAGACAGAGAGAGAGGGGGTGTGTGACAGTGAGTGAAAGCAATAAAGGAGAGAAAAAGAAAATGCAGAATGGACAGGACAGATAAAAGCTCCAAAAGAGAGAAGGTAAACTTAAATATACCAGTAGTTACACTGAATATAAACAGACTAAATACTGCATCTAAAAGACTTCAAGCAGGATTTTTTAAAAAATTCTTTCCTATGCTGTTTGCAAGAGACAAACCCAAAATATAAGGTACAGAAAAGCTGAAAGTAAATTTTGGACAGAAAAATTTTGTCAGGAACACTAACAGAAAGAAAGCCTGTTTTGGGATATGACAGCAGATAAAATAGACAGGAAGGTAAAACAGCACTAAGAGACAAATCTGGTCACAACATAACAAAAATGTTTGGTTCACCAGGAAGATTAAAAAATTTTAAATTTGTATATACGAAACAAAATAACCTCCAAACATAGAAAGCTAAAACTGACAGAAATCCAAGGAGATCATCAAATTCACTATCATGTGAGCTTTTAACATACCTGCTTCAGTAACTGGTAAGACAAATTCAGCTTTCACCTTTGCAAACAGCTTTAAATACAATTAAAGCATACATAAAAACACAAACAGCCTTTCACGCCACACATTCCCCAGGAATATATGTCTTGGGTTGAATACCTTCTATATTTTAAAAAGGACATGGCCTCAAACTAGTGCTTTCTTACTTCTGAAGTACTCCTTTGAGAATCTGAATAAAACTATGGACCCAGTCCACTAGGAAAGGAGCAATCAAGGAAACAGGGAAGGGAGGTAAGGTCGTAGCAACCCAAAATCAAGTTTTATAATATGGACTTAAACACCTAGTGGTTAAGTGAAAAATTTAGGTTGCCAAACAACCAATAGTATGAGTTCAATTTTGTTAAAAATTATATGTACAGAGCAGAAACTGAAAAAAGTATAGGAAAAAAATAGGTCAAAATAATCAGATGCAAATAGAGAAAATGAAACTTGCCCCTTATCTCAACAGAAAAAGCAATCCCAAGTGGATCATTGATCTAAATGTGAAGAATAAAACAGTTTCTAGAACTGAGTTGTCCAACAAAATTTAATGCACATCATGTATGTAACTGAACATTTTCTAATAGCCACCTTAAAATAAAAAGAACTGGAAAAACTAATTCTAATAACGTACTAGGCCTGTTATCCAAAATACTACCATTTCAACATCAATATAAAAAACTTACTGATAGTTTACATTTCTTCTAGGGGGTACTACAACTTTGAAATTTGGTGCGTATTCTGTGGTTCTACTATCTCTGAATTCCAAGTAACCATTTGTGGCTATCAGCTACCATCCTGGACACCGAATCCTAGAAAATAACATGGGTGAGTTTTTGACCCTGGGGTAGGGAAAGCTTGACAGAACATCAAAAGCACTAGCAACAGCAACAAAAGGCTGATACAGTGGATTAAACTTGGATTAGGAATGTCTCCATCAGGGGCACCCGAAGAGAGTCACAGAAGAATCAAGCTATAGAGAGGGAGTGGACAGATACCTGCAACACATATATACGAAAAAGGCCCAGATGCTAAATTAAGAAAAAGATAAAGGATGATGACATAATTTTCTGGCTTTTCCAAATTTTCTATAAGAAGCACGTAATACTTTACCTCCTCCTCCCAAACTCCCATACTCCCAAACACATTTTTCCCCTGCTCAACTTACCAGTTCCACAAGACTATTGTTGGTGAGAATGAGTTCTGTCAGACAGGGCAGAGCCTGATCAAGTCCCTCACCTACACGGCTAAAACAGAAACAGACAGACTCTTAATAAAAGGGAAAATTAAGTAAACTAACAAGTTAGTATCTAAGTCCTTGCTCAGGCGATTTCAGACCTTAAAGTAGGAAGAACCTTATAGAGATCTTTCTTCCAACCCTCTATCTGATGGAGGGAAAATGAAGCACAAAGAGAAACCTTGTGTGAAGTCACGGGGTTAGTGACAGAAGTGGGATAACTTCAGAAACCCGTACCTCCCAAGAGGTGCAGGGGAACCTTCCCACTACCACCATCTAGGAAAACCTAAGAAAAGGAAAAACTCCAATGGAGAACAAACTACTCAGCTTACTTCATGACTTCTGTCAAAGTAGCACAGAAACACAAGCGATTATGCATTTGCAGCCCAGGTACAAGACATAAAATTACTACACCATAAGGGAATGGTTAACTTATGAGAAATGTGCCCAACTAGAAAAAGCAATCCACCATTTAGTATTTCTTACACACATTGTCTATAGACCCTCAATAACTTTTCTCCTGTAAAACAACAGTTGATGAAAGAGGCCCCCCCCCCAAAAAATCTCCATTTCAATTAGTAACATTCTAAAAATCATCTGTAGTTAAAGAAAAACAAACGGCAAAGTACCTGAGGTAGAAAGAGATGTACAGTCAAAAACTGAACTGTTGAACTTAACATTTTTTAATATGCTCCCTCTGATAATTATTATTGTTTTAGAAGCCAATATGTATACCAACAAGCATGTTTTCAATTTACAGTAGAAACTTATAATGAATACATAAATATACAAGATTTCATGCAAATAAGACTAAACCAATACCAAATTAATCTCTGGATCTCCAGCTCATTTCTCATTTTAAGAAGAAATACATAGGTTTAACTGGCAGCATGTACTACGTCTTCAGGGACTACTGCAACACTTACTCTAGGGAAAAAAAATTAATTCCCATGAGCTGACACTTACCATATTCTATTGTTGTTCACTAATAATGTTTTCAGTCTTCTCAACAAAGGAAAACCATCCAGTTTCCTGATTTCATTGTCAGAAAAATCAATTGAATCAAACTGGTCTAAGGTGGCACCCAGATTTTCAATGACAGGAATTTTATATCCTGTAAAATGGAGGGAGGAGGGGACAACAGTTTTAATATAATTAAAAGGTACCTTAAAACATGAGCAGTATTTCTTGGTAATTTGACTCAAAGCTTTCATTTATTCAGAAAGTATTTACCTAGCACCTGGGCAGTCTCAAGGTGCTGGCACAGCAAATGAGAAGAACCTGAAGCTTACCGTCTGGCCATGGACCTGACAGTGGTGGTCACAACAAGGATAAGGGCAATGATGAGGATACTTACTAACTGTAAATTGACAGCTAACATCTGTAAGAGTATTTACAAGGTGCCTAACACTGTTCTAAGGAAGGCCCCAGAGCTGGTTAGGTGGCATAACAGGAATTACACTGTGAGCTGCTGATTGTTGGTGTCTAAGTCTTGTTCATATATTGCGGATGAGAGTTCTCAAGACTCTTCTGCATTCTACAGGCCAGATTCATAGAACGTAATCAGGATATCCTCGTCATTTCATGACAGTTCCCCTTTATTTTTGCCTCCCCCAGTTCCAATCCAGGGTTGAAGGTCATAAGTAAATCACCCTGTGAACAGTTCACTCAAATACTCACTGATTTGTCTAAAATTGTCATTATCATTGTGCTAAGTGCTCGGAGAATTAAAGAAATGAACCTAGCTAAGGTTAAGTACACAATTCATGGCTGTAAGGGCTATCAAAGTATTCTCAACAATTGACGCACTTGAGATTTAGAGAGATGGCAAAGATCAACCTGTGTCAAAGAGCGAAAGTGGTCAGTTACTCTTTAACCTTTATCTAAGAAATTTTCATTTCAACAAAATAAAAGCACCGGGCTTTGCACTGAGCAAAGAACCAAGCGGAAAGCAGAGCCTTACAGCAGCGCTGCTGCTGCTGCTCCCGCGAGAGCGAATCTCAGGCCCTGACAGCTATTATTTTACCCCCGGGGAAGTTGCTCTTCACATCCTTCCCAAAGTCTGAAATGCTGATGAGGTAACTGCACCCCCAATTCCTTACCTCGCCGTATTACGGCCGGAACAGCTGCGTGCATCTGAACAGTTCATAGAGCCCCCACCACTAACACACACAGGGCACGCGCTAGTGCAAGCCTCCAACAGTTAGCTTTTTAAAACGTTTTGATAAAAAGGGAAATATCAGACAATTGCAGCTAACAAGAAGGAAATACTGGAGAAGCAATCCCTTTTGTTCCCGGACTTCGTTTCTTCCCTCACAAACTAGAGATAATTAACACGTATCCTATCCATATCTTACACAATCACTTTTAACGTATTTACTGAGCAACCACCATTCGCTCAGCAAGAGGCTTAGAGCCATTAGTAAGTATATTTTCCCGGCTCCCAAACCGTTTACACCGCGAAACACGCCAAGCAAGGCCTAATGGGCCAGGAAGTAAGCAAGGCGTCCGTGTGTGTGAGCATAAGCGGTAACCGAAGCCTAGTAAGGGCCTAAGGGACAGTCTTCTGGCAGCAACGGCAAGACGCGGGCCGGGGCGGTCCCGGCAGCCGCCTCGGGGCCCAGAGCGGCGGCCAAGCTCCGGCCCTCGGCGCACGCGGCCGGACGCGCTGAGGCCCGGG